TCAATTTACTCAGGCTCCCTAGCTAATTGTTTTCCTCTGTCCCTCTTGCCTTCAATCTGTCCTGTGAGTGTCCAATTTTCGAAGCCTTCTTTCCACATTATGTGTCCTAGAAATTTCAAATATCACTTCCTGGTGTTATGTAAAGTGTCCTTCTTGTTTTCATTGTCTCTAAAACTTCGTTCTTACTCACAGGTTCGATCCATAGTATTTTGAGCATTTTTTTTCTAGAACCATATTTCTTTCTTTATCAAGTCTTTTCTTCATCTTTGAAGAGATTGTCCAGTATTCACTGCCATATATACAGTACTCTTTTCGTTGTTTCTAAGGACATTTTTCTGTTTCTTAATACTTTGCTTAACTTTTGGAGGGCATTTTTCGCTTTCCTTATAAACATTCAGATCTCAGTATTGCACTTTTCGTCCTCTGGTAAAACATTTTCCAGATATTTAAATTTTATTTTTTTCATTTTGGTATTGCCAATTTGCAATTTCCATATTTAGTTGTTCTTTTTGCATTTAACCATGCATTCCGTTTTCTTTCAATTGATATTTAGTCCTTACTTCTCGCTTTCCTCCGGGAGTTTCTGTATCGTCTTTTTCTGCGGCTGCTATCAAATCTGTGTCATCTGCATATCTTTTGTGCTCGCTTAAGCCAAATTTATATTTAAGTTTTCTTTTACCAAGGTGGATTAAGATAGTCATTTCTTTTTTTTTTTTTTCATTTTGGTTCCAAGAAAAATGTTTTCCACTTTAAAAGAATATATTTACGAAGTTAATATTAGTTCATGTGGATAAATGCGGAAAATAAAGATTTTCTTAATCCGATATTCCAAGTGCTTTTGTATCTTCAAAGTAAATATCTAAATGAGAAAACGTTTTTCACAAAATAATCTATAATATCTGCCAGATGCAGCCCGTCGTTGTTCGTTTTCGTAACTCAGTGGCTTAAACCATTGGTCTCGTAAACCAGGTCTCGTGAATTCAAGTCTCACGAGAGGGATAATATGTCCAGTTCTATTATTTAAATTCTTTTTTCTTGACATGCTATTTTCGAAGATTTTCATATTTTTCGTATGTAATGTTGCGGGGCCCGATAAGGATATCGCCCCCACCCCGCAATCTTTTATAAGAAAGATGTGAACAGCCAAGACAATGAGGGGGCAAAGGCTTAACAATAACAAAGGTCGATTTTTTTATTTTTCCAATATGTACAAGAGTGTACTGTATGAAGAAATATGCTTGTATCGGTGTAGATTCCGGTATGACTGGTTTCGTTCAGGAGGAGTTGATCTTTTGGATCGGCAGAACCGAGTTCAGAGTTGTCGGCATCGGCGTCGTTAGCTGGTCGATTGCCGAATTGGGGAGTTGTCGGCGGCAGTAGCTGGTTGATTGATGAGGTTTGAAGATTTGCCGGGTCGGTTAGGGCGAGTCCCTAAACAAGGCCGAGTCTGTGTAGTGATTCGACTACCAGGGCGGATCAACCACGGAGGCGGGATCTTGCCGAAGGGTAGCTCTTGATGAAGCTGGAGTCAGAGAGGCGATACGCCCTCCAGGGCGGATCGACCGCGGAAACGAGATCACGCCGAAAAGTATCTCTCGACGAAGCACCGGGAACTCACAAAGGTAGCGTGTGGATACTACACTTTGATCCAGGCCTCCAGGCAGAGCAGGTTGAGTTCAGTCGGAAAAATCGGGCTAACAATATATGGAATAGTTTGTTCAAGTACTCCCTGGCTAGAGGAAGTAGAAAACCGTAGACAAAATTACTCCTCATGATGTTCGATGTTTGGGTAGCACTGTTTGGGATTCAATCAGTTTGGGCCAGTCGTCCAGTTACTCGCATGCCGCTGGAGTTAAATCTTCTAGATCAGGAGTTTGTGAAGGTCAAGGTCGTTTTTATAAGGAGCGGTCAATGGCGACCGCGACTTAATATGTGAAAAAGCATTTGGGTATTGTGACGTACCTACGATTTCATTAACTATATAGGCGTAAGGCTAAAAAGTATCCCAAAGAAAAATCCCAAATTCTAGTCGAAAATTAGATATAAAATAAATAAATAAATTAAAATAGATAAAATCCAATGCTTTCAACTTACGAGCGAATATCTTATATGATCAGCCATACTCTCGTCTTCTCTTCACAAATTCTCTCTCTCTTTACCTACTCTTCCACCCACAAGCCACGGGTCCGTGAACTTTGAAGCGACCTGACGGCAGAATGACCTGGTTCCAAAATCCCGCAGCTATCAGGCGGTTGACCGTAAGTGAATTTCAGGCACCATAAGGCTTTCCTGCTGCGATTCACGTGATCAAACCCAGTGGAATTTTTGGCCGTAATGCAAACACTGCGTGATATGCGCCCCATTCTCTTATGTGCCCGGTCAAGGACGAAGAGAACCCACGTAATTGTCTTTGGGGACGGCAAAAATCTAAAAAAATGATTTTCAGTTTCTGTCTGACCAGTGGCAGATGAACATCGCTGGGCGAATTGTCCCGATTCCAAATGGACTGCCCACTGAAATGAAGAAGTCAGTAAAGTCTGTCGACTAGGAATGAAAGGACTGCTACGAAACTGAATCGACCAACGAAGAGATCCGAACGTTTCCGAAAGAAAAGGAACCCAGGAAAATTGCCGGCCGACCAAAATATTGTTTTAACATAAGAACTCTCGCCTCGGCGAATCAGAATTTTGTGTGGAAATATCAACTCGACTGACAGATAAGTTGATTCTCTTGGTTTGATCATTTTTATGTATATATATATATATTCGCTCGCCCCTTCTGTTCTTTCATGGTCCCCTTCCCCTCAGTTAAATGAATTTTCTTTTTCTTTCTTTATCTGTTTATGTATTTATAAATAAATGTTTTATTTTAAAATCCATAGTTTTGTGTCTGTTTTTCGTTGACTCCCTTGTGTCGCTTCCATTCGTGAGTGAAAACCGAGAAAAGATCCCACGTTTTCTCTTTTTTTTAAATCCGTGGTTCACCTATATACTACATGTTCGTAAAAGTAACAAACTTTTTTTACAATGGCAAAATTCCTATTTATAAACGCTTGGGTTAATTTTCTGAAAAATTAAACGTTAATAAAAATGAAAATAAATGTCCGTGGATAAATCGATGAAATTCGTAAATAGGAAAATGTTTAAAGAAAACGTAAATAACACATTCCCTTTGTGCAGTTACCCCACTTTTCTATAAAAAAGAAACGCCGCTAGGGTATGTTCCCTAAGCCTATAAAGTGGAAGTGACGTTCTGTCTGTCTATCTTTTTCCTATTTCATCCAAGGATAGTAAGATGTAGACAGCATCTAGATAAAAACGCTGCCGCTAAAGGGCATTCACTTCCCTTGATCATTTGTTGACTTTTGAACTCTCGCACACTCATGCATGCATACACATGTGTCTATCACACACACTTATTACACTTCTGTACAAATACTTTCACTAATTTAAATGATTTCTTCTATCATATTCATTGAATTGCAACACGCAACATTTTCCTATTGTTAATGTATAACCTTGTTTTGTTAATGCATACTTATCATTTGTTTCTAAATATAGTTTTGTTGTTACTTTTTATTTTATCTGGTTTCACATACCCAGTCCGCCATTTTTGTTGTTAGATAAATATACCAGGAGATCACACACTCGATCAGCATCGTCCGCGACACATTTTCTGGCTAAAATAATATTAAAATTGATACTGTTTAAACAACTTAATAAAATATTAATTATTCTGTACTTTCCTTAACGCATATAAATAATATTATGAATTAAAATTGAATTATACGTGGTCAACATTTTCATTAGACAGATCTGATTTATTTTTCATACAATAACTTTCATGTTACTGTAGGAAATGACCCTATTTTATATTTTATTTTACCAATGTGTAGCGTGTGATAAGTGGTTCGTTTCACGTGATATGTCTATATTCGTGAAATATCATGTGGTATTCCTATATTTGTAAAATATCACGTGATATGCCTATATTTGTAAAATATGAATCAACATTAAAAATTACCCAGCAGCTGTAATTGTTACCACGAAGGCGTCATATACTCCCTTATTTTGGTACAAAGAAGGTGGCGTTACGGTAGATTTAGAATGCCTCGGGCTAGGCTTATTTCCCCATTTTTCCTCAAACTCCCATATATATATATATATATATATATATATATATATATATATATATATATATATATAATTGAAAAGAAAACTCTCTATTTTATGTATGGGTGTCCTGCGACTTTTTTTCTTCGGCGTTGGTTAAAGGGGAAAGTCTACTATACCAAACCAAGACTTTGGAAGAACTTGTTATGTCTTCCATACCAAAGAGTTCTTGTTGAAATCATTTGACAGGATTCCTGGACAGCTCGAAAATCTAGTAGCGAAATCTAGTGCCCCTATCTAATTTTAAATACAACCTCTTGTTAAAGACTTTCCTCTAATAGCCATTTCTTGTAAAAAATATATTTAATTTACAAGTTAGAAGTATTTAAAAAAAATTGAGTTACTTTTCAATCAGCCTGAATATATATATATATATATATATATATATATATATATATATATATATATATATATATATATATATATATATATATATATATATATATAAAGTATAGAGACTGAACTCAACACAGAGTGTCGGCAATCTATTTCATGCTCGATCGCATTCTTCAGGCCATGTCTGTTGGGTAGTGGTTCAACACATTCTATATGCTGATTAATGGGGCGTTATGGTTAGAATAGTCAAATATTCTCGGTTTTATCGTTATTCGTGGGTAGAATGTTTAGATATACCCCATTGACCAACATATATAAATTATCGAGCCAACACCGTAAACACATGTCAGCGGATATTCCGTAAGCCAGGCAGTCGCCCGTTGGTCTTTCCCTCAGTGTCTACTCTTATGTTTACACATATCCTATCCCTGATATTAAGCACTTTTACCCGTTAAAATAGCACATATTTTTATCAGATAGATAGATATGGACAGGCTGAGATAGACAGATAGATAGATAGATAGATAGATAGATAGATAGATAGATAGATAGATAGATAGATAAGAACCGCCTGAGTCAGATAGCTCGCTAGCTATATAGCTCGCTAGCTAGATATGAATAAATCCAAATAGATAGATAGATATAAACAAGCTGAGATAGATAGATATATAGATAGATAGATAGATAGATAGATAGATAGATAATGTACAGACTGAGGATAGATAGATAGATAGATAGATAGATAGATATATATGAATAGACAAATATATATTCATAGGCAGAAATAGAAGATGTATAGATAGATAGATAGATAGATAGATAGATAGATAGATAAGAAGTGTCTGCGACAGATAGCTCTCTAGCTAGATATGAATAACCCCAAATAGATAGATAGATAGATAGAAAGATAGATAGATAGATAGATAGATAGATAAGAAGTGTCTGAGACAGATAGCTCTCTGGCTAGATATGAATAAACCCGAATAGATAGATAGATAGATAGATAGATAGATAGATAGATAATGTACAGACTGAGGATAGATAGATAGATAGATAGATAGATAGATAGATAGATAGATATGAATAGACAAATATATATTCATAGGCAGAAATAGAATATGTATAGATAGATAGATAGATAGATAGATAGATAGATAGATAGATAGATAGATAAGAAGTGTCTGCGACAGATAGCTCTCTAGCTAGATATGAATAACCCCAAATAGATAGATAGATAGATAGATAGATAGAAAGATAGATAGATAGATAGATAGATAGATAGATAGATAGATAGATAGATAGATAGATAAGAAGTGTCTGAGACAGATAGCTCTCTGGCTAGATATGAATAAACCCGAATAGATAGATAGATAGATAGATAAATAGATAGATAGATAGATAGATAGATATGAACAAGCTGAGATAGATAGATGTGGTGACTAAATCGCCGACTTTTATCGATATTAGCAGAACTGGTTTCATATTCTAGCATTTGGCGCTAAAAACAACGACAAAAGATGTATGTTACTTATTAATCGGACTAACAGATTCCGAAAGAAGGCCGGTGACCAGAAGCGCAAAAATATATATTGGTAATAAAAAATAAAAGTTTGGACTGAAAATAATTAGAAATGTAAAGGAACTGTCCACAATTCGTGTCAGTTCTATTAAGGATCCGAGCTACAAAATTGCTTCCAAGACAACCAATCGTAAAAAAAAAAAAAAAAAAAAAATGACAATTTATGATTCTGGAATATACATTTGAAAATATATTTAAATTCAAAAAAATCTACATGTAATCTGTCACGTTAACGCGACCGATTTTCAAAAGGCAAACAGAAGAAAAAAAGAAAAAGAAAATAGCATCACGTCCACGTGACAATAAATGTCGAAGTTTCCAAAATGATTATCATGACACGTACCTTGAGTACCATCTTTTTTCTTTCTTGAGATTGACTGGTGCAAATCGGAACTGCTGAATTAGACAAGAGTTTCAAGACCAAGATACAGAAACTAATTTACCCACAAAATAAACTCATAAAAAGAAGATTTACTTTATTTGTTGGCTCAAATAATCTTATTTAACTGAAGATTGTAACAAGCAGCCTCACGCATTTAACCATAATAAGATAATCTGTAAGCACTGTGACATCATTACTATAAAAAAAAAACAACAAAAAATTTCAAACAGTGAGATTTATATGTTTATCGGCGAGACGACTTGATCTCTTCTATTTTCCAAGGGGATATATTGTTGCAACGGTAACAAGACGAATTATTCGAGACCAATTGTATGACGAACGTTATCAAAGCAGCTGAGTATCTCATTATTTAGCAATGAGCATTTGATATATAAATTCCTAGTTCCTCTGTATTGTGTAAGACGAGATGCTTTTATACTCAAGGATTGGAAGCCACCATGTGTATTGATTTTAAATATTCCAAAATAAGCACTACGCTATCCCACATAAACATGCCAAAATCAAGACAATGTATAACACACAAAAATACACCAAATGAAGCACCTGTATTTATTCTACTTAAATAGACGAAAATAAGCACAATGTGTATGCACAATAAATCTATAACTTAAGCTGCAGTGTGTATAGACCGTGGTAGCATTAACATAAGCACCGATATATATCTTACATAGATATACCAAAATAAGTACCAATATGCAGTTGACATAAATAGACCAAAATAAGTCACAATATGTATCCCACATAAATACATAAAAATAAGCACATTGTGTATCCCTAATAAATACACAAAATCAGCACCAATATTTGTCCTACGTAAATAAATGAAAATTTATTTCCCCCATAAATAAACCAAAATTGGCACCTATGTGTATCCTACACAAATACACCAAAGTTAAAGAAACATAATTAAATGTTAACTTAAAAGAATTTTATATATATATATATATATATATATATATATATATATATATATATATATATATATATATATATATTGATGCATGTTTCATTAAATAATATAATATGTCTATTTATTTTAATTTCCTTTCATATTGTCTGATAAGCTTAATAACATTATATACGAAATCTCCGCAAACATTCTTAAATGTCTACAAGTGATAACGGAAGCCATTGGTTTATACAAATGCCTTTCCATACTTAAGACACTCTCGTTTTCACTTTCGCGTGGTCATGTGTCATATAATAGGCTTAAACACTAATATTCCATGGTTATAATTTTTTACATTGGAATCATAATCACGATCCAATTCATCAGACCTATTGGATCGTGATTACGATTCCAATGTAATCCATTATAGACATGGAATATTAGTGTTTGAGCGTTTTATATTATATTATATTATATATATATATATATATATATATATATATATATATATATATATATATATATATATATATATACATACATACATGTTTAAATACTTACATACTTCAATGTTCACTTATATATATATATAGTGAACATTGAAATCAACACTAGAGAGGCTGTTTCATGCTAGACGCAATCGTCAGGCGGTTTGACGATTGCGCCTAGCATGTAACAGCTTCTCGCCTGTACGTGTTGACTTCAATGTTCACTTTTATATTTACAAACGCTCTGTCTCTGATATTGCGCACTTTATCCCATAAGTTTAGCTCACCTTAAGAGTATATTTCTTCACATATACATATATATATATATATATATATATATATATATATATATATATATATTTATAAAAGATTTTATAATTATATATAAAATATATGGAATTATATATATATATATATATATATATATATATATATATATATATATATATATATATGTATATATATATATATATATATATATATATATATACACTTGTGTGTGTGTATCTAATTTGTTATAAATATTCCACACACTGAGATATTTAAATTAATATTAAGTATTTCCGCAGTACAGTAAAATTTACTAGAACAACTGTTCTATCGTAAAAAAAAAAAACAATGAGGCTTTCCATGTTTATCTGTGAAACAGCCTGAGTTCTTCTACATTCCAATTAAATATATTGTTGCTATGGTAGCACGAAGAATTATTCGCTCCTGATATCAAATTGAATGATACGAAAACAAAACAAAATAGCACATTAGCCAGCAATGAGAAATTACCGGTGTCATATAGCTTTTTGCCTCTTCTCTATCGTTCTTACGATTAGATGATTTTCACACGTTATGATTTAAAAAAAAAAATCTCTTTTTTATATACGATGATAAAATTAATTTTATAGATAAAAATCATAAATTGATCATGCATAAAATACAATCGATGCAATTGCAAACTTAATATTTATGTTTTTTTTTTTTCGTCTGGCAGTGTTAGTTTTCTTAGTATAGCTTTAGTTTTAATGATTTATAAGTATAAATTTATTGTTACATGAGTATTAATTGTATAGATAGAATTCTGTGTTTATTCCTGCATAAAATATAACCAATGCCATTGACGACAGCATTATGTCTGACGCTAAGAATTAAAGTACAGGACGCGTACTATTATAAAAAATGCTAAAATCCCAGACATTGAAATGTCTTAACAGATGGCGGAAAACGTGACACCGAAATCTGATGGCACATTGGAATAGCAAAAGATAGCTTCCTAAAGATAAGCAGACTATTAAGAAACAGAGAAAATTGGACTGGACTGCTATGAAAGAGTATTACATCGCTATATAATCAGAAGGAACGGTGGAGTAATGGATAGCAGATCGGAAAGAGGAATCAGAGTTCGAATTCCAGTCGAATTCATTACATTCACTTACATGCAAAAAACCTTGGGAACAGTATGAATCTTCTTATTCTCCCCTAGCTATGGGTAAATAGCAGGACCGACCGTGTTCTATAGCCTTAGATGGTTTACCGCAGAAAGAAATGGCAACCTACTGCGGGAAAAAATCTACCTCGAAACATACACGATCACGTAGGCCTGTATCACGCATAGCACATAACTGACTAATATAATACCAGTCCTCCTATATGGTAACTAATTATGAACAATTTCCTCAGAGATGAAAAGTCTGAGCATAGCATGGACTGAACCTGTGTGTAACGCGGTAACAAAAAGACGCATATATTTAAAATCAGGAAGAGAAAGATGTTATTTCTGGGACATATATTGAGCAAAGTAGACTTGAAAACTATGACACTCACTGGACCTACTTAATGAGCTTGGGGAAATGGATAAGAGAAAAAGAATCCGGATGAATAGGAAAAATTCAACGCGAGCAAATTTTATCTCCAAAAAAACCTTCAAAAATACTCCAGTAACTTTGATGAAAAATGATTAAAACCACGTTTAAGAGAAGTGAATAAGGGAACATACCAGAATCCCCGCCCCCAAAAAAACAGATAACGAAAAGATTACAAATCGAATCCGTTAAAAGTAATAAGATAAAAAACATCAGGGTATTCAAGGATTTTGGTGCATCAGGAGAAAAACCTTTCCTCAAATTAGAAAATCAAATTACGTTTTTCTTTGGTATTTTTTTAATTATGAAAAGTAAATGAAATGTCCCTGGGGACGACTAATCAAAGACCCTATATCTAAATTATTTCATTTCAATTACCTAATGATATGAGAGCTTTCATGAATATGCTCGTTTAGCCAACCGTTGCCATAGAGACTAACTGGGGAGACCAAGAGTAATATTACTACGTTCCAGATTACATATCACGTTTGGATATGCATAGATATCTGCTTAATCAAATGTCGGATGGGAGATACCAAAAGCTTCACTAGAATCATTGGGGGATAGGTTTCAATAACACATCCTTGAATAATTTATTTACTCATACCTCCCAAAATCGAGTGTAATATTTAGGCATTTTTGATAGTTATATTTGTCGAATGTTACTTATTCCAGATGATGCTAGAATTTACTTAGTGATTGTAACACTAGGCAATCAAAAGAACAGGTTCACCGTAGAGATATGAAAAGACGTGGTCGACCCACCTGCATCTAGGATCTGTAAGCGTGAGAAAAACCGTATTACAGGTAGATATACAAACTCCCAAGCTAGAGCGAAGCGAGTATCACGTCCTGACGGAATTTAGAACCCACATTAGGAGAGCACCACATAAATCAAATGGTCGACACTGATTAACGATGTCCCTAGTTGAATAAAATGTAATTTGTTAAAGTGTTGTTATTAGTTATTACGATAAAATAATATATTTTCTGCCCTGAATTTGAGAATTTTTATCTCTACCATTGATCTTATTGCCGCACGTAAGAAAAATTATGCTTTATAAACCATTGAAATTAGAAGTCTTCAAAACTAACAAAAACTAGAAAAATATTAACAGATATTCGAACAATCTTATACGTATAAACTTATATTTTCTGCATCGTAATATAGAATATCTATACAATTAATACGTAATTTGATTTTCTAATTTGAGGAAAGGTTTTTCTCCTGATGCACCAAAATCCTTGAATGCCATGTTATTTTTTTATATAATTACTTT